TTTCTATTGTTTCCTGTTCAGACATGTCCTCCTTGTAGTTCTTCTCGAGATAGTCACTCACTGATGCACAGCCCATTGAATCAGCCGGTAGTGAGTGAGGATATTACCAGTCTTGCTGTTCCTCCCGATAGCAGCAGCCTTCCACGAGTTGAATGACCCAGATGGATCTGTCTGGTATCTGCGTTCAGGAAAACGACTCGAATCACATCTTCTAGGGAGGCTTACAACTGAGGTTTCTTCTGCTCGTTTTGTCCGATTATCAAGGTTGATATACCAAAGGGACGAGCGCCTGAATAGTACAATCACAAGCACCATCCTCCCATTATAGTGTATGACCTCCCTTATAGGTGTACTGCTGTTGGACTCCTGCAATGTATCGAGCCACATAGTCTACTGTGGGTTGGTCCTCAACATTGAGGCGGTAGCTTTGACACTCCACACGAGCCTTATTGGCCAATACCTGTATTTAGGTGTCGAGTCAGAGTAGACGATGAACCCGCATTATCACCCTCGCATCAGCGTTAAGGCCAGCGAAAGCCAACATCACATGTTGGTCTATTCGGAGGATCTTCCGGACCGTCCTAAGGTAGTATACATTGCTTCCTCTTGACGATAGGGTCCAGTGTTGGGAATTATGCACATAATCGGCTACATGTGTCGGTCACAAAACGAAAGAATTGAGAATGAAAATTTCTGAAGTTTCTCGTTGGTTTTAGGACACTTCTATCAGAATTCATGCGGAAACCCTGCATGTCAGCGAAGAAACTGCTGAGCTCAGCTGAGGAAGCCAAACATATATTCCAACACTGATAGGGCCATACCTAGGATCTTGTAGCTTAGGAATAGCCTTCCTCTCAACAGCCAGCACTGCAGTGTCCTTTCCTCGGACCCCAACCGCTGTGGTCCCCTTTCTTACCGCCTCCAACGCGTATCTTGAAATGCCCAACTAGAGTTCAGTTTACAATACTCTTATACTGATACTTACTCAACTTGGAAGAGATGACCATCGGGCGAGAACACTGTAATAGCGCGATCATAACCCGACATAACCGAGCAAGGTGAGTGAGTGAAGCAAAAACTACGAAACGATGATACTACTATCACCGACCACACAGGAGAAGCCATGATAGAGATAGGCCGACTCGAACGTACCAAACGCCTACTAGTCAAAGGCCCTCGATCTCGAGTGGTGAAATGGAATTCATTCCTATCACATATCAAATAGTGGTGGAGCGTCGACAGCGCTTGTCCAACTCGTTGCCCCTCCTCCACGAGCATCATCTCCCACGATGACATTGTTACGATACAGTCCCGTTTCAAAAACTTTATCTGGCAGGAACCGGTCTGTGGTGGACTGAGATCGCGATATGCTTATTGTGATAATGTATGGGAGGTCGAAACAAACCAACCTTCCGCAATAATAAGGGGATACTGCCCTATTAGATGGATCAATTTGACCAATACCACACCATCATCACTACTGTTGCTTCCATAGCCAGTTAGCATAGAACACTCCTCACAGCACTCGCTTTAACTCACCTCGGGATCTAAGAGCAGTCCAGCCAAATACCTCCGCACTGTCCTGTGACGACAGTACATTGAGAAACTGGACGCGCACTGGACCGCTCTATCGCTCTCTACTCTGCC